ACACAGAGTAACTCATTACACCATTGTAACTGGATCATATAAGCAAGCCATACCTGTGCAAACACTAATGGAAAAGACATGGCAAGTTGAATGACCTAGCCCTAGAGATCTCTGAAGCCTTGGATAGGAAACACTGTTTAGACTGATGGTGATGCTTATCCTCTGTCACTGACTCATGCTATAGGGTGCAGCCAATTACTTCAGTTTGAAGACTGATTTTCTGTCTACAGAGATATCACCATGGCATTATTTTTGGCACTGAAGATTTTTTGCACCTTACCCAGTTAAGTACTTTGACTGGGCTTTGACTGAATAAAATTTTATATAACTAAAGTGTATTACTGTTATGCAGTCAATTCCTGATCACTTTAATTTAAACTTATGCATAAGTGAGAGCAAATGTCACTTGGAGTTGTCATGTTACACCCTGATTAGCTGCTTGTTCCTTCCCTTGGTGTATCCCCTGACGGGTACCAGAGAAAACACTTATGAGGCTGCTGAAAGGGTGAGATCAGGGAACTGATCAATACAATGGGGTTGGGATTTTTATGTATTAGCATTTGTGTAGCACTATGTGAAGAAAAATGAGAAAGTCAATTTCACATTTCATAAATGGGCTACATCTATGAATACATACTTAAATCCATAGCGTGTGGGCTCACGCGAATACAGCAGCATGTGATTACAGGTGTCAGTCATTCTGCACTGTCTTGCTTTTTCTGAAAGTCAGTCCTCTTCACACACTTTATTGCTACTTTGGTCCGCCCTATATTTAGCTAATTCTTACATTTCCTGATTTTGAGCTGGATACAACTGTATATACATAGTTAATCCATAGTTACTCATATCTCCAATATTAATCTTCTAGAGTGGAAGAGAAAATGGAAACACCTTCTGCCCACATTACCTTGGAGATTAAGTTGGCCAACTTCAATAAAGAAGACCGAACTAGTTCAACAAATAAGAGCAGAAATGTATGCTCAGTGCAGAGATTCAGCATCTAGGTAGGTGTGGATGCTGAATACAAGCAGAAGAAAGTAGGAACAGAGAGCTGATAAGGTTCCACCTAACAAGCAGTGACTGGTATAGTGAAGGCATCCAACTTGGGTTTATAAAGTATCATAGTTATTTTTTTCCAGTATTAAACCTTGACAAGTCTATTTGATCAGGACTGCCAATCTCTCGATGGCAAGACTGACAAAGGCTGAAATTCTGATCTTCAAATATAAAGAATGGAAGACAAATTGCTGAACATCCTGCCAAAGGGTGCTCACAGGTAACTTAGCACTAATTTTAATCTATTTGATTGACTATCTACCCCTTTACTCCTTACAATAGAAACCTCTGCAGTGAAGAACACAATATCTCATGGTTGAAAAGCACAATATCTCAAGGTTGAGCAGCAATACACTTCATTACAGTTGGAAAATTCCTATATTACTGCCTACTTAATGATCTGTAATTAGTTGAATGGTAAGAAGAATTGAAGCTTCAGTGCCTGGGGTTTCTACATGAAAACTCTTAGCTTGGATGGAGGGAGGTTCTTTAAATCTCTCTTGGTTTGACAACAGATAACTCTTTTTATTTGCTTAAAAAGTAAATGAATAAACGCAATATAGCACTTACTTTGATTTAAAAATATCTGCCTGCCTTTCTTTTGTAACTGAACTACATCCCATTTTTTTTCAGCTATTCCAGGAGCTAAGTATATTCATAGAATCATAGAATGGCTTGGGGTAAAAGGGACCTTAAAGATCATCTTGTTCCACCCCCTTGCCACAGGAGGGACACCTTCCACTAGACCAGGTTGCTCAAACCCCTGTTCAACCTGGCCAGGGATGGGCAGCCACAGCTTCTCTGGGCAATCTGTTCCAGTGTCTCACCACCCTCACAGTAAAGAATTTTTTCCTATTATCTAATCTAAATCCACCCTTTTTCAGCTTAAAGCCACAGATTTAAATACAGTCACTATACTTTTTTAACTGGAAATGCAAGTTTGAATTCTCAATTACAAATATTAAAGAGATTTAACACTCAGCACTAAAAATATAGAAAGTTACATTTTTTGCCTTTGGGTACAAATATATTTGATAATGCATAACACTAGAACTGTATGTCATTAATCATATACATGACAATGACAATAAACATTAGGAGATCAAAACATCAAAGACAAATAGGAAGTCAAACTTTACTTGAAAAGGAGGAAGAAAAAGTTTAACCATGCAGTCCATATAAACAGATACATGGGAAAGGAAGAACCAAAGAGGAGTGCCTTCTGATTCCCTAACAAAGTCTATCCAAGCAAGAGGGGAAAGGTTATCCAGCTAATACCTTCTTTATACAAAGATGATGAATAAAGGAGTTTTCCTTTTTTAGTCAAGTTAGGTCAAAAGTATATGAAGCATCATAACCAAGAAACAGATCATTTTAAAACTACAACTCACAGAACCAATAATCTGATACTTTAAACCATATTGTTTAAATAAATAATTTTATTTCTCCTTCAAAAAAAAGTTTGTTTTATTTGTTAATTATACTCTTCCAAACAAAGTAACCCTTGTGTCTTCCTATTAGATTCATAACTATCTTCAAGAACCAGTGAACCCAGCCATTCACTGGGAACAAAAGCACCTACAGTTCCAGCTTTCATTGGTGGTTTCTTTTTTCACTGGACATAAGCCAGATTGTTTGAGGGGGGAAGTAGCAGGCAGACATAAGCCACTATTTATTTCCAATCCTCATACAAGACACCTGATACCAGGCAAGATGAAAAGAAATCCAAGAATTCAGTGTATAAGCATGGGAACCCACAAGAGCAAAAGTTGGAGGGATCACAGAAAAGGAAGGGGGAGGGTAGAAACGCACAAATTTCGTTTTCAGCTAAAAGGTTCCTCTCATTTTTTACCGGATGAATGTGCTGTTGTTGCTACACAGAGACCTGGGCAGCACAGGTATTTTGTGCTCAAATCACACTGAGTTTTAACTAATCAGTTCCAGAAAAAGGACCGTCCATCAGGAGAATTTATCGCTGCTGGTGAGCAAGTATTTCTCATTCTTAACTTTCCTTTAGTAAAGCAATGAGGTACGGTTGATAAATGCATTACAAGCCTAGTTATACAAAAAAAGACAAATGATAGATGCTTAGAGATTAGCTAGCAAAACGTTTGTTCTTACAGAGATGAAGGCAATCTATATGGTGTTAGCTGTCATTTTTTTCTCTTAATCAACTAAATAACATTGGATCATGTAACATCAAAAAAATCAGAATATTGAATTTAAACTGCCTCCAGATACAGCTCCATAAATTACCCTTCCAAAGCCTTATTTGGTTTTGATAGGATGATAATCAATTATTTAAACTTCATATAATTAATCCTATGACTTGAAGAGGTTTATACTTTGATGATTTTATGAATACATCATGAAAGAAAGAACTGATTCATGCATTCCATGCCTGTTTTGAAAAGACATTATCTGGTGTGATTTCAAAGGCATAACTATTTATGTTTAAATATAATTTTAGCTAGTTAATATAAGTGCTAGATTTTATTGTTAACATCTAGTGGATAAACTGGCATTAAAGATAGTTATTAACTTTCACATAGAGTTGCTACAAATACTCATTCATCAAGAGTTTAGTAGCAGGGTGTAATGATGGGTTTTTGCTGACTGAAGTTAGTGTTCTGCACAAACACTGGGAAAATTCAAATGGAATTTTTACTACCAAAAATTCCTCACCCCCCCCAGACTTAACTAAAAGTTATAGTCTCTCCTTCAGAAGCACTAGAAAACCTTTTTCTTATTAAATATCAATAATCTCCAAACATCAAATTAATGTGCATAATTAGTAAGCTCCAAAGTAGACTCCTTTCTAAAACTAAATCAACAATAGCTAACTTGAACAAGCCTAAGGACATATGTCCTTAAGAAGCACACAGCATCTTCTTTTGCCAGTGTACAAGGCTGCAATTCCATACTGTATATCACCTTTTAAATCAAGTTTGATTTTATATTTTTTCTTTTCTTTTTAGCAATCCAGGCACAAGTGTTTCAGGGAATTATTTTTGTGTTTAAGTCAAATCACTTTCTCAGTGGGTCTACCTGATAACTCATAAAGTTCAGCCAGCCTCTGGAAAGTGGAGTGTCCAGTGAGAACCAATAAGCTCATGGTATCCTGGGTTACATGCATTATAATTTTTAACTTAGGTCAAGCCATCAGATATCCACCTAAATATCAGAGTTTTAATGCATAAAGATGATTCTACCAGGCAGAAAGAAGACTTACAAAATAAAAAAAAATTATCTTTGTCATGCTTCTCTACAAGTACTGCTTTTGTTCTCTGACTTTTATCAAGACCAAAAGTTACTGAACTTCTGAATGATGATCTTTGTCATGAAGAGAACTAAATAACTTCAGAATACTGAAACAGCTAGGAGCACAGATGGATTGTTTCATTCAGCAGGAGTAGAGCTGAAAATAGAGTTTAAAAATGCCATGAAGACTGGAAAAGTTTTTCAAGTTTTGATTGCGAGAAACAGCTGGAAATTACTTTGACATTTATTTATTTCACAGTCTTTAACATCCTGGTTTTTAGCCTGGTCCAGGTTAAAAAAAGATGGCAATTTCAACATTCTGAAGGGATTTGCCAATTTAAAATGTATTACACCTGAGGCAAATATTTATCAATTTTCCTATTTTATTAAAGGGGGTATCAGGAGACATCTTTTGACCAAAAACCCTACCCACAAAAACTATTCATGAAAAGATCACATGACTTTAGATGTCACTAAAATTAAAAAAACCTAACAGAACAACTAGTAGCACTGTCTTGAAATTGTCATGATCCAGGATTACAATTACTGTACTATTTCGTAAGAATCAAAGGTGGGTGGCCAGAAGTGAACTGAAATGAACTTTGTGCCCTTGATCACATCATAGTGAGAACTGTCCAATGCAGACTAATTTTGACATCTGAAAGCAGTGTTGCACGATAAAATAAGGCACTTCCATTTTGCGCTTTTCTCACAGAGAAATAACCCAAACTGTCTCTGTAGTATAGATTGTTAGGATACCACTAACACATTGATTTACACTGCTCCAGGTGATAAATCCATTAGACTAAAGCTGTTGCTTTGTTTTCCAGTCTCTTTGCTTCATTGAAAGGGAAATAATGCTCCATTCAACACTGGCCTTGTCCCTCCTGCTAATTGCAGTCTCTTCTAACCTTGCAATGGCAATCAAGAAGGAAAAAAGAGCACCTCAGACACTGTCAAGAGGTATTGTATTATCTACTGTGTATAGTTACCTCCTTATCTTACCATATAGGTCAACAAATGCTTTTATTTAGAATGCAAGTGGAAGCACATATATATTTACTGACACCTGTTTCTCTAGTGTTAAGTGACACTCTAGGTAGTGCATCTTTTTATTCCATGTCATTTCACTCTGTCAGTTTGCTCTTAAGGGTATGGCTGAGGGCCTCATATAACCTGCATAATATATATAATTCACAGTGACCTAGTAGAAGCAAAAAACCTAAACAGAGTTTCCCAAATAAGGATGAACTTGTAGGAAAAATGGTGAAAATATATTACCCATGCACCATTTAAAAGATATTTTATTATGGCAACTTATTAACTACCGAAACACAGTTTCGTAACTTCGGTTGCTATGAAACAATTTTTCTACAGACCCATTTTTATACACAAAACAACACTCTGAGCCACTACTGGGTTTTTCTCAGTGACTTTTTTCTCTTGCTTTTCGTCAAAGTCACAGTCACGCTTTGCAGTGAATAATTCACTTCCTTGTGCATAACTTTCAACCTGGGTGTTAACTAAAGACCCTATTTTAAGTTATTTATGACCGATCAGTCATTAGAAATACAAGCAGAGAGAGAGGTTACTGGGGCCTTTTCCTCTTCTTCATCTTCTTTGGGCCTATTCACCTCAAAAAATCTCCAGCTCCCTTCCTGACCCCCTTCTGCATGCTATGCAAAGCCTGCAGAACCCACAGCTCACATTTGAGGTCTTCCTATACAAAGCACTGGCAAAATCACACCTACCACAGAAATCCTGTCTGAGACTAATTGCTCAGGGAGCACTTGACAAAATCATGCAGCACCTGGACTAACCAAATTGAAACTGCAAATCATTTCTCCTAAGAAGTATCCCTGGGGAAAGGTTATTATCGTCTGGTATCTACACCTATCTTGCATATGTCAGAATCTATTTTTCCCACTATGGCTAAATTCATAAAAAGATAAAGAGCACCTTCAATTCTAGCAACTTTGAAAACAATAGTCACAGAAAGCAAGTACCAGTTTTAATCCTGATTCAGGCCTTTTGGGATGCCTTGAGCGCTTTACCTGTAATTTTCACAGATCAAAGGGGAATACTCAAATGTGCTGCAAAATGACCCTTGCTGACTCCTCTGTGAAGTTACCTATGTCATCAGTTGACTTCAGCCGGGCTGGGAACACACTGGTCAACATGCCAGAATCCCACCTTTAACTGGACAGATCCGTAATCGAAATTATTCTCCTGAAAGCAAAGATGACCTAGTTGCGTAACAAGCAATTGTCCCTTGAGATCTGCATAACCTAGCACTGTCCAGACACCACAGAAGAAACACTACCTTAACCTGGTCCAGATCCAGAAGCTGCTCTACCATCCCCTTGAGGACCATCATGAATGGAGCAATACTGCCTGGGAGGCAGGAATCTACCACAAACGGGTTGGTGTCTTTGGTATCTGAAGGCATGAAACAAACTGGACAATTTGTTTCTTGATATCAGCGTATCACCAGCTGTGGATGAACTATGAAGTTGACGATTCATTAGGGTTTTTGTTTCAGTGGACATTTTTATTTAAGGGCCTTTTTTTAAAATAAATAAATTATGTGATTAAATACTTGTAAATTGAAATTCATTACTTTGGAGATAAGTTTATAATCCAAGACTGTTCTAACAACATTCATATTAAAGTTGATCTTATTTGAGCTGTATTTTATTCTTTTCTCTTTTATAAGCTAACATTCTCTTTAAGCCCCAGGGTCTACATGAAATATGGAGCAGACAACAAAGATATAAAGAATTTGGGTGCTGATTTAGGGATGTCTGAGTATTTAAAAGGTATCTGACAGATTTGCCAAAGGACTTGAATTGGATACTCAATCAGCTGAGGTTTTTTTCTGTGGGGTTTGGTTGTTTGGGGGTTTTAAATCTTCCAATGCACCTATCAGGATATGTAGAATAAGCATATCCACAATGTTCAGGGAACTTTGACTACAAAAAAAAACAAATCCTACTTGTGTACTACTATTGATAAATATTAAAAAAGTAACTTGTTATGAGTTACTTGCCTGGCCACCAGTTAATCTTTTTGTTATATTTCTAGGATGGGGAGATGAAATTACCTGGGTACAAACTTACGAAGAAGGGCTTTATCAAGCGAAAAAAAGGTAAGGGATTAAAACCAGTTTGAAAGACAAAGATGTTAATTGGTCACACCTGAAAATACTATAATGAAACAGAACAAAGAAACACCATGACAGCTGAGCTGCAGACCACTCTGTTAAATAAAACATATTTTGTCTCTATAAGTAAAAGCCATATAGGGGTCTTATGGCTCTGAAGCAACATCATGAACCAATAGTTTAATGTTGTCATTTCTTTGTCACAACAGCAGTGTTGTCATTTGAATAAACAACGATAAACAGGTATTATAATTTGAAAAATACAACTGTTGTGGTTTGTTGTTTTTTTTTTAATATCATGTACCTCTGATTACTTCCTTAATATTAACATCTGGAAATCAGTTACATTTGCTCTTGCATGGTAAACTACTGCCTCTCATGTTTTCCCCAACACTTTATTAGTTGACATAGGTGCATGATGTACTCACAGATTCCCACTATCTTGGTAGAAATTAATGTTTTACTCTGAATCTTCTCTGGGACTCATCTGAAAATATATCTCTGAATTAATTTAATTATTTAAACATCTCTTGCAATTTGTTTTAGATAATAATGTTAAATTGAAGGCAAATTATTTTTAAAATAAAAGGCAATTAATTTCATGTAACATGAAAATGGCTAGGAACTGAATAATTATTGACAGTGATAGCAGATCAAGGTTAATGCCTAATACGCTGAACAATAACAGTAGTTTAAAAAAATACAGGGCAAAATGCACAGAACTAGTTAATGTTTTGACATCCAAAAATATAAAGTTTTGATACTTTACCAAAATATTTACAGAAGACATAATTTACTGTATATCTGTTCAAGAAACCTTAAAAACCATGGAATTTTCATGGAAATATTTGATGGTAAACACAATGTTATAAAAATTATTTTATTCCAGCTCATACACATTATTTTTATTTTCTTAATTATGGAGAAATTCATACCTAAGCATTATTAAATACATCTTCAGTCTGATTATATACAAACTGAGAATGAAATTATGATGGCTCTGTTGTTTGTTTCTTCTAGAATCTCTTACTTTAGAAAACCTAGTTAGATATGAAAACTCTCTCTATTTCTTTCTTTTATGAAGGAGTTATGTCCTTTTCCATTTCTCAGAAATGTCTGTAATTGTTTACAGAATGTCTGTAAAAAAAACCATGGTTTTACTGTGGGTTAACATAACATTAAATGTAATTCGCCTTTTCTCTTCTGCTCGTAAAGTCACCCATTTGTATATATTTGTCAAATTATCTAACTACATATTTTATTATTATTAATAAAGTAACAAGCCACTGATGGTAATTCATCATTTGGAAGACTGTCAGTACTGCCAAGGTAATTTTGATTTTTTGAGTGTAAAAATTATGTGAATACTTTCATGAGAAACTGCACTTACCTATATATTTACCATGCACTTATTGAAAACTATTTAAAGAGGTAAATAAAAATGTGTTTGAAAAGCTAAGAATTTATTACTGTTATTTACAAACACTCCACTATGAAGCTATCCAAAAAAGAATGTGAAAAATACTCAGTGCTGCTGTCCTGCTATCCCTAATGCTGCACTCAGCAGTTTAGATTAAGTTGCACAGATTTGCTACTGACTCGTTGAACAGATTTAATACTGTTTGGCTCTCCTGAACTAGTAACTAAAGAAGGACACAAGGACAGGGCTGTTGAAATCGATCTAGTAAGAATTTTCTGAGAATAATGCACTTTTGTCCAGCTGAGACATCGTATCCATTGAGATGACAGCCCTCACAAATAACAGAAGAGAGCTTCCATTTTCATAGCTGGGAGGTTATACTGACATGGGTCAAAAAAACAAAAAGCAGTGGTGGAGCCCTTAAGTGTCTCCTCAGGAATGTGAATCAGCGGGAACAGGAACAATATAGCCAGTCTCTAGCCAATGTGGTGCCTAAATGCAGATGGAAAGGCAGTTTCAAATGAACTTCAAAATGATCATGTCTTTTCTAGCACTGAAGAAAGCTTTTGCAGAAAATGAAGAGATACAGGAAATGGCTCAAAATAACTTTGTTATGCTGAATCTCATGGTATGAAGGGTTTGGGGCTGTTTCACTGGGGTTCTTTTTTTGGTATTTTCTTTTTTTCCTTTTTTTTTTTTTTTTGGTGTTTTCTCATTCTTTGTGCTTTTTCATGTTATTGTAGCTAAATACCTCTGGCATTTCAGCTACATGCAAGAACAGGCATTTGTGCATGTGTATCCACACACAAGTAGTACTTTCATTTTAGTTTTGTCCTCTGATAGAAGACTATTCACATATGGTAATATTTTGGCAAGATCTACAGAAATATTTTAATAACTAGCTTTAATTTCTCTGCCAGCATGAAACCACAGATAAAAACCTGTCACCTGATGGACAATACGTGCCCCGAATCATGTTCATAGGTATGTACGATATTTATGTAACTTCAGAGGTGTGATATACCAGTGTCCTCCTTTTGAAACATCAAAATAATTTATTTTACAATAAGAAAATAGCATGAGATTTATCATTACCATGGCATTAGTCTGGAATTTAGCAGATCTGAGTTCAGTTCTCCCTCTGTCATAGGCTTTAAATCTTGTAAACTTCCTCAGATTATAGATACTTTAGGAGGGTACCTAATTTGTGCTTGGGGGCAAGATGCTTAAATATCTGTTAGCATAGGGGCTTTTGCTCTCTGTGCCACTTGCTAGTGCTGCTGTAAAACAAAGTTTACCGAGAACAGTCCAATATCTGACTGAATGTAGATATCTACAGTATGGACCTTACCACAGAGCAAGTCGATGGTCAGTGACATCTAAGAAGTGATTTATCCCATCATAAAGCAGACTTCTGAAATAGATAGAATGAAACATGCTGCAGAGCACCTGTTCCTTTTCACTGGCTGTACAAGGAGCTTAGAGTGACAAGATCTGTGGTGGCATCCAAAGTCAGATGAAATGAAGCCCACACTCAGACAAAAAGCAATGCAGTAACAGGAGTCTGTTGATTAACAAAAAGCTTGGAAGGGGAACTGGGAAAAGAGATGTCCACAACAACTTGTTTCCATGATGATCCATCACAAGATTTTCATCCTGAAGGCTCTAGGTAGGTCATGCAAATATTGCATTAGGTATGCGTGACCCTCACTGTGTGTGCATCTAGTCAAATCAGCCTCTCCTGATGTAACCTCAGAACTTGTAAAACAGGATATATTTTTTTAATTACTGGTGAAATGCATGTGTAATCTGTCACTTTAAAATACCTGCATAATGTAAAAGTGAACATTAGCTTTTGTCTGGATTTCTTCAAATAAAAATAGTTGGTTGGAACAGAGAGTAAAGGCATCATAATTACCTCACTGATGAAAGCAGAACACACAGGCATCATCTTCATCTGTTGTGGGAATGGAAAGCAGTGTTTAATACAATTACTTTTTCAGACCCATCTCTCACAGTAAGAGCTGATATCACAGGAAGATACTCCAACCGACTTTACACTTATGAGCCACAAGACATACCAATCTGTAAGTGTCCCCTCTGTTGTGTTACTCTGTATTTCACATTGTAAGCAGCCAGATACACCACATCCAATTATTTTTGCTTGAGAATACATTAAGATCTCAAAATAATTAATAAAGACTCTGTGTGAGCATTTGCAATAGAATCATAGAATAGTTAGGGTTGGAAAGGACCTTAAGATCATCTAGTTCCAACCCCCTGTGTGGGCAGGGACACCTCACACTAGACCATGATGCCGAAGGCTCTGTCCAGCCTGGCCTCGAACACTGTCAGGGATGGAGCATTTACCACTTCTTTGGGCAACCTGTTCCAGTGTCTCACCACCCTAAATAAATTATCATAGTCTAACCTGTTTAGCAAAACACTTAAGCACAGCTATTGTCCCATTGAATTTGTTGAGACTGCTCAGGTGAGACAAAGATCATGGGTGAGAACATTCAGAAACAAGGTCTGAGCAATTTGCTGGAGAACGGTGAAAGTCACTGTACTCAAAGGTAACCAACAGCACAATGTGAATGGTCAGTGGTGCGAGGGAATCAGTAAAGAAATGCTGGTGATTGCCTGAGTATCACCTAACACCTATATTTCATAAAGGAATGTGATTTTTCAGGTTGAGCTAGCCTTTACTCTGTACCATCTATCTGACACCAATGGAGTATCTCACCACAAATATGCACGTCACATCTGATTACCAGACTTGCTGTTGAGAAATGAAGGAGTTGAAAGGAGTGTTGTCAAAGCCCTTTAAGTTAAATATTTTGATTCATGAAGCTTCTACCTTCTGTTTCAGTATCAGTGCCAGAATTTTCACAATAGAAAACTCTAATGTGTGACCATAAATTAACTGCAGTGTGAACAATTTACTAATCAAAGAAGGTGGGTTTTCTAATAGTACAAATTCACTTTATGTACATTTTTACAGTTCTTATTTTTTTTCTTTCAGTAATAGAGAACATGAAGAAAGCACTACGTCTCATTCAGACAGAACTATAGTCAGCAACAGTAAAATGACCATAGCCTCTATGAGGTGAAGCTGCACCTCTCCGTCTCTACTAGCATTTTGAACTCTTAACAAGCAGCACTGGTCTATCAGATTTAATGAGAAATTTATATGTCCTATTTGAAGATCAAACACAGAAAGACTGTAATGCCCATTTGGAAAACAAGAGGAGAAATCTATGAAACACTTTGAAATTAGTTATCTGAATAACCTAAAGTGATGGTTTAAGGTGCAGCACCTTTGAGTTGTATTGTTATCAATCCAACTATGGCTTTGTTAAATCAGCTATGACTTCTGACCAAGATTTATAACCAATGTTTTTGGTGCCATTTTGCAATTTTTTGTATAGGTTAATAGGTGCATCTTGTCTCATAATTTTTATTTTTGACAAGAAGCTTATTTTTGACAAGTCATTAGTGTATCTCTGTTTTGTGCATTTATTTCTCCTTAAAGCAAAAGAAACTTTGCTGGCAAAGCAGAGAGGAAGGCTCTTCCTAGACATTTTTGAACAGTTTATACAGAAATAAACGAGGGATCTGGGCTTAGCTTTCTTCTGTGTAATTCTTTAACTGTCATTCCAATATGCTGAGAACAGAATAGATAGTTCACATTGAGAATGCGGTCTCAGTGAGGTGATAATCATCAAACAGCAACTACAGGGTTTGCTATGGTAAAGATACAGTGAAGCAACAGAGATGGAAGGAGATAGTCCCAGAACTCCACTCCTGAGGCTGAGTGATGCTTGTAAAGTCTGGCATGGCAAAAATGAGCAGGATTGTCTTTGTTCTTTTCATTTAAATGGCAGTTGAATCATCCCAGCTCATCCCTTATTTTTCTGTAGCATCTTAACCCAGACATCAAGGTGGCAGCTTGTATATACAAAGTCTACACAAAATTTCTCCAGGATCACAATGTGCAAGGGCAGATGTCTGTTTTAAGTAAAAAGCTGAAGTCAGTTGAAATAGTTTGTTATCCCAGCAATGTGCTTTTTCATTAGAGCAAGATAGTGATTCGTGTGCAGTAAGAGCATAAACATGCAAAGCTATGTTTGTGCTGCCTGCCATTTCTTATGAGGTTGCCTGCATACAAATATAAAAGATGAAGAAAGGATCTTTGAAGGACAGCATTGTTGATTTAAAATACCTAGTATGAATTTGTCATGATTGAGTTATAGTGCACCTACGTATGACTTCATAATTGTGTAAAATTTGGATATAAGCATATATTCCAACATAATGGTGATAAATGTCCAGTACACCAAGAGAAAAAAAAAATAAAAAACTTGTATTAGTCATTAACAATATACTGTCTTCAGTAATCAGTTAAATGACTTTTTTAATCTATTAGAAAACACTAGAAACAACATTAAACTGATAATCACATTCCTTTGACTTGTGTTTGACTCTACTCCTTTATTTCCGTATCTATTTGATCTGATCTAGCTGATCAATCTATCTGATTTAACAACATTTCCCAGTCTGTGGGCATACCCTCTTTCAAGCATGCCAGAGATGTTCAGGAGAAAAGGATGTGAGCCAGCTGCCAGAGGCAACACAGGATAGCCATGGCAGCACCTTTACAAAGTAGGGTCGAGTGAAGATTTACCACTAAAAAAAGCACAACACAAAATAACTTTGGAAATGCTTCAGTATGGTAGATTCAAAATATTACCAAAAAAGAGTAAGTGGAAAATGGTGGGTCCTTGTTGTCATATTGCATGGATTTTTTTTACTTCCAAACATTCACTTTCAGCATCAGCCCAGATCACAGGAGACATTGGCTTGAAACAGCCTCTGCTCTGACTCAGGCAGGAAATCAAATGTGGGATAGTTACAGCATCAGTCAAAGCCTGCTTCACCTACTTAAGATGCAGAAGACTAAGGCTGCAGGTTCTAGATGGATATTTGAGAGAAGGCTGAGCTTGTGGAAGTATTTGCATGGCTACGCTTTAATTGCAGTGTGGAACAAAAACTTCCCATTTTGTATCTGGAAATCAGCTACAAAACACAACTGTTGTCCTCCCTTTAGCTCTAGTAACTACATCTTTGTTCAAGGTGCTCTTGTTTCCTTGCCTACAACTACAATTCTATTAATTGCAAAGATGACAGCATCTGCCTGCAATGACTACTGTCACGGATTCCCCTAGTCTGTCCAGATACTTGATAGCTTTCAAAGTTTTCAATAGCTTTGACAAATCGCTCATCCAATAACCACTTTCTACAAATGTCATGGGCATGCAAATTCCTCTGTGTCATATAAGAACTGTTTGCAAAGTGACTAAAGGAGATTTCACCCTTTTATTTCCCTTCTCAAATCTCTATGGGTACCAGGCTGAAATCTGCCCTTAGCATAGTTTGGGGAATCAGACTAAATATTTGTGATTCTTAAAGATTCAGATCCAGACCTTTTGGTGGAGCTAGATACTCAGGTAAAAAACACCCTGCATGTTGCACACGTATTTTCCATTTGCAGCTTAGTTTGACATTCATTCTTAATTTTAATGCTGCTACTATATTTCTGTACTCTCCCCTTCAAAGATTATTTTGCCAGGTAATATCTTGCCTGATGGAACAGACACTCACACCTCTGACTAAAGTCTCATTGATCTGGAATAAGATAATAAGTCTGTAGCCTGTGCAATAACAGCCACAGCATGATTCTGCCCCCTTTTTTTCTCTGAAATGAATGGCATAAGGCGCTACTCCTTCTTTTATCCCCTTCTTGCCATACAGCTTTATTCACAAGATTAGTGGGCAGATTTTTATTCACACTCTTTACTTCCCTCTCTTAAGAAAGAGTGGGAAACTGTTCCTTTTGTACCTTGGCTAACTGAAACTAAACAAAACAGAATTTTTTGAGCCTTCATTTCTTGGGTTAGTATTGAAAGAAAAGAATAAGACTGAAAATGTTAGTATGAGAGCAGAAGTTGTTTTACACAGAATAAATTCAGTCACAATATAAATTCAGTCAGACCAATAGCTGAGAAAGCCTACATGTGTAGACTGTGTGCTTTTACAGAATTCATAACCTGTATGTATGGATGCTGATATTAACATGAGCATAATATAGTGTCACCTGTGGAAGCCGATTTTTTCTATAAGTGTTCTGCCTTTGCTATGAACACATTCTGGGAAACCGAATTTACTGCCACTGTTCACACATCCATACCTACTTTACTGTCTGGACTTATCTGTTGTAATCAGACCAAGGTTAGTCAAACAAACGTGGACTTAACGTCAGTGAGGTGAGGCACAGGAATCTGAGAACTGACAGAACAGGATCCTCCCCCATGTATCCGTCTCAATACAGAAGGGTGTTGGCTTTTCTAGGCAGATGGCTGATGTATTAGTCTGCAGAGCTAAAACATTTTCCCATGTGCAAATATTTGCGCTTGACTGGAACAAAAGAAAAGCCACGATACCTTTTATGTACCATGGAGCTGAGTGACTGTGGGACACCTCAGCACTTAAAATGCAAAAGGCTGATATACTTTGGATTGTTCCATGTGCTACACATGTCTTTACCAAAGGTTGACACAAAGAATTTTCCAGATGCTGAGGTGTCCTCCACAGGATTGGCCAAGTCACGGGTCTCCTTCCTTCTGTTTCTTCCTTTGTTCAGATGGATGCGCAGATCCACAGTATGAGTCAGGTGGAAACAAAAAGTTGCCATGGCAATTTAAAAGTCCAAATCATGGATCAGAAGGGGATGAATATTTATTCTTCCACCAGAAAATCTCCAGACTAAAATCTATATATTTATACCTTTTCCTAGCTGTTCGACGTGCTCGTGCTATTCATCACTTGCCATCTTGTGTGGCTACTGGGTACTGTAAAGTAACTGACCCACTAGTCACTACAAACGGGTCTACTTTAGCAGCCTATTTTCTTTTAGGAGGTATTGGATATTTGCTGATTCCTTCAGAATAAGAGAAGACACACAAAAACAACAGCTTCCCCTATTTCAGCATATTAAGGAGTCCAAATACAGCAGTCATCCTTTAGTTCACACTGCCATATCAAGCACTGTATTTGAAAATTCCCCTGTGATTCCAACTCCACAGTTCCTAAGTAGATGTTCATCAAGTCCTTTGTACATGTCTAAGTGTCACCTGTGAGAAAGAAAAAATACCACACATAACAATTTTTCAAGGTATAGTGCCCATGACACAACACTCCTCAGGTAGTTTTTTGGTGCTTAATTTGGTTATTGCTTCAGGAAAGAGCCTTCAGAAAGACCTACTGTGTCTTCTGTTACCTTTTTGTGCTCACTGAGGATCACTTGTTACTGCTTTGCACTCCCTGGCTGTACCTCCCCAAGTGACTGTTGGTAAAAGGTTGGCACACATGAAACCACACTGCTATTTAGCACTCAGCCAGCTGGAGAGAGCTGAGTTCATGGACATACAAACCATTGGCTTCACTGCTTACATTCACACACAGGGAAGATGACAGTGACTGCCTGGAGAAGAAGCTACACCCTAGGGTGAGGTGTGCTGTACAGGATGGGGAGAAAAGGCCTGATCTGCCAAATTATTTGTTGCTTCAAGGCTGCAAGCAGGTGGGGCCGTGATTTTACACAGCTCTTATGCATTTGTATCATAGCACCGTGTGGTATCTACTATATTAACAACATCAAGTATGACTACTGGCAACACCTCAAGGCTGCCTTTCCTGACCAAATGTATTGACTGCACAGCTGGTGAGCTGAATTTTTACATTCCCAGGTACAGCTATAGGGCATCTCTAGAGCATGAACGACAGACAGTTTAAGCATTAGTCAATGCTATTGTCCACAAGCAGGTATGCTGCCTGAAGGTTGCCTACAAAATGGGAGTAGCATTAAAGAGACTGACAGATCCTTTGGGTTTTTACCCTGAAGGGGTATAATATCCTTAGCTCACAGGAGCTAAGGATATTTAGCCTTCTGTATACAGAAGAAACTAAAACACAGGCAGACTAAAATCACACAAAAAAAATGTGGCAGGACAAAGAACTGAATGTACATTTATTTAGCTGATATGAATGAAAATAAGCACAAACTATTTAGTGGTGCCCCTTTCTGACTGTGCAATGTGTT